CTCCTCCACCTGCTACACACCACACGGTCCGATTTTGCAATGTCCTTCTGTAGAACCGAGAAAGCTATCCCAGACTGCAGGAAGCAATCCGAGGAAAGGACCAAAACCGCATTTTGTAACATCGAATCGCAGGGCACCAGGGAGAAGTAATTTAAAAATATCATGACACATGGCTACTGAACACACTTCCTCCGGAATTGCGAGGCGGATACTGCACAATACTTCTCAAGACCGTTTCGACTTGCCAGGCCTTCGAAGTTGTCTCTGACCTTGCCATGAAGATACCAAAACGTCATGTGAACGCGACCCTCTCCCAAATGCGAGAAGCTACGGACGAGAAAACCCTTGCAGTGAAAGATTCAAGAGCTCGAGTGTGGACTTGGGGACGCGGCCCGGACAACTCTAGAGACCTTCGCATATGCGATGTTGTCTGTCACAATCTTCGTGAGCTCCGGGAAATGCCAAGCATACCACTCCTAGGCCCGGCAGCGCTTCTCGGTTCCCTTCCCACAAACCGCATCTCGCAACCTTGCCCCGATCGCCAAAAGGACCTTTTGGGAGGAATGTAGCACATCTGTCACGAGTAGCTGATTCTTCGTGAAGAGCATCAAAGGAATTGCGTTATGACACGAGGAAGACGGCAAGCTTCTTGCAAGCAAGATGCCCGAACCCGCATTGCAAAGGTGTTTATATTCCTCAGGAAGCGCTGCTGCCAATAACAAGCTGTGCAACATTCCTTGGGAAACTTGGCAACACCGGGCTGAGGCTGCATCTTGTCCAGGTTGTCCAGCAAGGCGATGGTGTTCATGATCGGCTTGTCCTGCTCATTTTCAGAGGACGGCTTGTTCTTCGACAACATCTGTCGAGGACGCTTTGAAGCTTGAACCATTCCCCACGTTGCATGTTAGCGACCCATGTTAGCAACACCTTGGACAAAAAGCACTCGAGGGGTGTCCTGTCTGTTCGGGTCCAGCTGCATTCGCGCTCTGCTGAATGCATGGCCCAGTCCAAGCCGAGCTTTGTCGAGATCGCCTTCATTAAGGTCCTGGTTGGCAACACGGAGACATGAAACGGAAGTCGGCGACGTTGCCTTCGGGCCTTCACCAAGCGGTTGAAATGCAAGCGGCAGCCTCGCAGCAGTTCCTGATGCGGCCAAGCAAGAAAGGGGGGGTTGGGGGGGTGGGTGGATCTGTGTCAGTGTTGGAGAGTGAACGCTAGCAGCATCCCTCCTTGACCGACTGGCCGTGAGCAATCGGGAACTGCTCGGCCAAAGCCTGTGCCCAAGAAAGCACGTCGCATCTGCAAATTCTAGACAAGAAGCGAGGCTGCTCGGCCTTTCCGAGCTCCGGATCGTAAACGCCCAGCCTGGCACGTGCTGGGGGCAAGTTAGAGCCGCTGCCAGACACAAACACACACACACACACACACACAAACACAACGAAAGAAAAAAAGTGCAGGTGAGCTGGTAGGTCTTCTTCTTCTTGGGCAGGTTCATCTCCAAGAAGTTCACCTGCAAGCAAGAAAACTCTCTCGGCAAGGCCGGTGCCGCGAGTGCTTAGTCTCTAGGCAAGTCGCGAGTTCCTCCGTTGCAATGCCAGCTGCAACGGAGTTCGCTTGGTTCAGTGCATCCTCTGCATCCCGGAACCTCAGGATATCAGAATCAAACAAAACACTGACACTGCTGTCACCCATCTTTCTTGAAGTCGCAATCTTCGTCGGAACATGCTATCTCAACACGACTCAAGCCATTGCCCACCCGGTGCTTTACACTTTCCTTCCATGCACGGCACGCTCCTGCTTTGTTGCTTTGTCGTTTCCGTTGATGTGTGAAAGCCAGGGGTCTGTATCAGACTCAACCATTGCAGTGTGGCCACCAGGGCTTGCCCCGGGGAGCGAGCATGCCTGATGTACCCAACTCTGCCCAGGAACTGCGTCCATGCATGCAAGGAGATAATCTTGCTCACCTTCTTGGGGTCGAGGAGTGAGTTCTGCACCTGTTGAAAACAAAAGTTGGCGGTGGAGGGTGCGCAAGGTCGCTCCACTCCGCCTCCTCCTCTGTTTCGGCGGTCTCTTCGAACTCTTTCTTGAGAAACAAAGCATAACCTAAGCTGCGGAGCCAGAAGCGTCAGCTCAACAGAATCCAAAAATCGCCAGGATGCCTGCAGCGCTCTCATAGAGCAGGTATGTTGTCATTGGAGCCTGGTGCAGAGAGAAGATACAGTATGATTCAACAACCTACATGAAGCTTCTGGTTCGACTGGCCTCTCAGCCGGCTCCGGCAAACTTGGGTGCAGGTCGCATTGGGGCTCAGGTACGGTCACCGAGCCACTTGAGAAGGCAGCAGGAAGACACAGCGGCCAAGATGTTCGAATCCAAAAAAAGCAAGCTTCCGCACTCGGACGATCTCACGGCTGGACTGGAGGCCGAGTCTGCGACTTGGCACAGAAGGGACTGCTGTGGGTCTTTTGGCCAAGGGCTTGGCCTGCACCTGCAGAATATCAACAAATGCTGCAAACATGACTTGACGAGTATTTCCCATTGCCGTCCTCTGATGCTTCGTCCGAGGACTCTCCACCTGAAGCACTTTGCTCCTAGAACTAGGATCGCTTCCGATGGCTTACGCAAGATAATTTGCTGCCGGCCCCACCCAAATCATCCTGTGCCGCTGCACAAATGGGCTTTTTCCTGAGCCATGAGCTGATCTGTGGTCGGGCCTATGTCACGACAGAACTTGGTCAAGTCACTTCTTCATCCTTCCGATAGCGATGCCAGTGGCCTGAAGCCTCGGCCTTGGGCGAAAGACATCACAAAAAACGTCACAGAGGCGGCGCTTGTCTCCATTCAGGCTGCTGCTTCGGCGCCGGTCTTGGCGCGGGCTGACTTGAGCCATGCTGTGCAGGACAACCACACGGTTGGAAAAGGGCAGCTCGGCACAACCTTCTTGCTTTCAGTGAATCCAGCATCACCCTGCCGACACTGCGATGACACGAAGGTGACGTGAAATTGAACTTGAAGGGCACGATGTGTTCATTTCGCCAACAGCGCCTTGCGCTTGTTCTTGCCATTCTCGACTCTTACAGCACATTTTCCATCTAAGAAAACGTAAACATGGAACGAATGGGAGCAAACTTCCTCGCTGCACGCGGGACGGCACGACTCGAAATCGGATGAGCTTTGTTGCCCTGAGCCTACGGTCGAATTCCAGGTGTCGGGCACCGGGGTTCCAGAGGGTCTTGGGTCAGCCCGACGGGCTGGCAAGAAGTTGATTAGGTCATGTAACAAGAAAGCTAACCCTTCAGCCTTGACTTTGCAACTGTGACACTACATAAAACACAACACCGAAACCGCGATTCCTGAACACCACAAGAAACTCACACTTTAGACCATACGCAAACCCTAAACTTAATCTTAAAGAGTGAAACTGCGCAGGAACTGCGCCCTTCAGCCTCTACTTAGACTCTACTCCCTTGGAACTTCCTTTGCATTCTTGTCTTGCTTCCTTCCCTATTCTTGCGGCTTAGTTTGCATTCCCTCTCTTCTTGCGCAACCTAGACCTGTGCCTTTCCGAGCCTTCTCTTGCAGGCGCAGCAGCCCTAAACTGATGATTTCTGCTTTGTGATCTACCTGTGAAAGCACTGCCACTTGACCTGTCATGATCCTCGCTTGTTGTCATCCAGGGCAGTACGTTCATCATCCGCTGAGATTCAAACTACGACATGCAGGCAGGAATTTTTGGCATGACTCTTCCTTGAAAATGGACGTGCTGGAACCTCAGTCCCGTTCGGCGGGAGATATCTGAGGCGGGAACAAGAACCCCTCGGCACGCTGTCTTTACACTCCCAGTGGCCTGGAGAAGCACACATCTCCAGTCACCAGCTTCAAGATGGTTTACTTTACGTCAGATGAATTAGGTGAGCATCCCACGATACCGCAGACGCGTGAGGGTCTGGGCGACTTAGGCTTACGGACACCCCTGATCCCGCCATCTCCTTCGTCGGCAAGGCCGATCACCGCTCCCGTCGTGCAAGTTTACCTGAATCATCTTTTGTCCTTTATGTTCTCGATTTTGCGAGCATTGCCCCAGGATCGATATCTCACGAAAGCTCCGCCAGCGAGGCACACCGAGACGGGCCGACAATTTGATCCTATCATGATGCTCTCATCCGTGTGTGTCGACTACAGAGGCTGGTGTCGAAGGTCGTCCGCCCAACCGGCTTGATGATCGACAAGAAGACTCAATGCCGATACGAAGCCACAGCGAGTTGCAACGGTGCGGGGACATGAGAGTGCAGTTGGATTTCAATGGACACAAGCAACAGCCAGACACGGCCCGCTCCGCATATCTCCGGTGACAGGATCCAGGAAGGGGACAACGACAAGCTTGTCCTACCGTAACTCTGATAGTTCATTTTTTCCGAGTGCTTCTGCAGCTGCAACCTGGAGGAAACGTGGGCGCTACAGAACCGGGTGAAACAAGTTGCACCGCCAGTGTCCTGATAAGGCAGTGCCGTAAACATACTCAAAAAATTAAATGCTTCCACATTCAGGCTGACATTATGAGTGTTAACAATGTAGTGCCGCGCAACCTCCTTGTCAGGCACTTGGCCCTTGGCATAGTTACACCGCAATGCAGAACACGAGCATGCAAGAAATCATGCGTGCATGCTTCAAGCATGCATGCACCTTCCTGCAGAAGACGCTGTCTGATTGTCAAGGTTGTTTCTTCACCTTGGCCTACGTTTGGGCAAGCCTGCTTGTTGCTAAACTGCATTCAGCTATCACAACCTTGCTGAACCAATGGGCCTTTTCAAACATACAGAGTCATGGTTCCTGCTGCTGCATATCAATATCTGTAAACAAGGTGGGTCCATACAACACATGTCGCAAATAAACTTCAGATCAGTTGTTGCATAATGTTGCAGCAGCTGTGGACAGCCAAACATATGACCGCGGGCTAGGAGTTATCGCATGTCCCGGAAAGCATTAATTGTAAAATAGCGTCAGAGTATAGCGCACACCTCAGGATGTCTTGCACCAGGCAAACACGGACTCTGATTCATGCTCAGCCACGCTGTAGGCTCTCTTCATGGGTTTTTGCGCCGAGACACTGTACTCCGCTGAGATGCCGAAGCACGCTCACTGATTTTGATGTTCTGTCGCTGATACCAGGCCGCTATTGCCTGGTTCCTTGGACCCGAAAAAGAGGCCAGGAGCTTACGGGGCCAAAATGAAAGCAAGAGGCAACTCCATCTTGGAGATCGTTCCGTCCCGAAGAATGTCTGCACGGTCAAGAACGAAATCCTCGGAGCACGCAAGACCACGCCGACTGCAACAGGACGCCAATCTGCTGCATGCTCGGAACTTTTGCCAAGTTTCTACGTCCTCCTCACTCACGTCCTGGGAACTGCACGCTCAAGGCAATCCCAAACGCAACTCCAACATTGTCTGCGAAAAAACAACAATGCTGCATGCAGGAACATAGGAGCCCCATGAATGACTTTAACTCTCTTTATGACAGACCCAAAGAACTGCGCACGTGTTGGTGGTGTTGCGTGCGGTCGTGGTGTGGGGTGCGGGGCAAGCAATGCTTAACATATCTTAACATGCCGTACGAGAGCACTGCGGCTATCTGTGAACTCCAGACACTCCGAAACGCTGCCAGAAACCACAGCTGTGAAGGATGCCAAAACACACTGCCTCAGCCTACCTGGCTGCAAGAGACCCCGAAACTCAGGCCTCTTCGGCGCTGAGCTCTTCGAGGAGCGCCTGGAGCATCATCAACTTCAGAGGGACTTCAAATCATGACCCCCTGAAACCTGACTCACTTGAGCTGCGAGTGGATCTCGAAGACTTCATGTCGTGGCCAACTGCCAAGCCCTAATACTAATATACATATTCATATTACTATCAGTATCAATATTAACTTTGATTTCAAGTTTTAAGGTTAAAACCAATATTAATATTCATGCTGTTCCGTCGGTTCCGTCTTTTGCCCCTTCCGCAGGAACGAATGTCGGATTCGAGAAGCCGCCGGCATTTTCGGCTGCTTCTCTTCAAAAGCAGGCTCAACTAAGAGCTGCTCCATCCCACCAGGGCCGGGTGGGCGGGACCCAAAAAGCTGACACAACTCTGCTCAGAAAGCATGTTAGTGACATGCTGTTCCGTCGCTTCCGTCTTTTGCCCCTTCCGCAGGAACGAATGTCGGCTTCGAGAAGCCGCCAGCATTTTCGGCTGCTTCTCTTCAAAAGCAGGCTCAACGAAGAGCTGCTCCATCCAATCCGTGTGCGGCCGCGTAGCGCGCTGTTCTCAAGTGGATGGCCTCGGTCTCGAGAGCTTTGTAACAGCTGGAAGCAGCTTTTATACGGCCGCGAGCTTGCAAAGGGAGCGCGGGCAGTACAGAGAACCCCGTCATCTCCTGAAGGTAGTGTTCCAACGTCACCTGCGATTTCAACCGCATGCGCCACATTAAATCCGAGATGGGAACGCCCCGTTGAAAAGCGGCAATGGCGCCTCCAGCTCGAAGCGAAGCAGGGGTGATAGCGGCGGTGGCCGGTGCGCCCAGAATCCTCAGCAGTCTGTCCCATCGCCTGCGGTAAGCAGAAGGGCTCCCAGGGTACAGGGAAGCAGCAGCCGGGAGATTTTCCCAAATAGATAAAATGTGCTCCATGGCGGTGACGTCGTCAAGTTTCACATGTTGGATGCGGGCTGCTCGCCTCCGACTCTTCGGCGCCGTGATGCGGAGGTACAGCCAACGGTGTTCAGGCTCGAGGGCGTCCTCGGGAGTCAGCAACCGGCTGCGAGTAGCCCGCAACACTTCCCCAGGTCTGGAGACGAAGTAAAAGACCGCGAGCGTCGTGGCAGCCCACCTTTTCCAGCCCATCATAAAAGCCAGTGCCACAAGGGCTCGAAGCAGAGCCTCCGGGACCGGTGTGCGGTGCGACACCGGCTGAAGTTCTTCCCACCTCGACACCATGTTCCAAGCGACGCCCAAGTGAGGCCGCACCATCGGAAAAATCTTCTGAGCGTGAGCCAAGAGCTGCCTGTAAGATCCCAAGGGGTAACCAGTTCTGTAAAGTACGTCTCCATAGTCTCGAAGGAGCAAGCTCAAAAGAGGAGGGCAACGAAACAAGCTGACGACAGCTTGCTCCGTTACGTTCTCCCGAAGCCAGCGGAGGAAAACATACCAGATCTGCTCCCTGAGCCTTAAAGTGGCTTGCTCGATGAGCTCGACGTCGAAGAGAGAACCTTCCCGAGGCAGCCGGGCTTTGCGAGGCCCTGGGTTCTTTGCCTCTCCTACGCGCCGAGTGCCAGTGAAGCAGGTATCGTGCAAACGCGGGTCTGAGGCCCTGGTGGCTCGCAGAAGACTCTCAGCCAGCTCCAGGGCGGCTCTCATCGGAAAAGCTTCGGCGGCTTTAGAAGAGCAGCCAGCTCCTGAAACAAGGCGGCCTCGAACTTGCAGATGCTTGTGGCCACCCAGACAAAAGGCCTCGTGCCCTCGAAGGTCAGCTGTAGTCAGGACCCGCGTGCGTTTCAGCCATGGCTCGGAAAAACGGCAGCGGTCGAAAGTCCAGAAGCAAGGCTGGGGGAACGAGAGGAGGAGTGTCCGAGCGGCAGGGTGAACCCAAAGAAGGGAGGTGGCAGGGCCATCAATCCAAAAGGGAACGCCCAAATCAAGGCAAAGAGCGGCGAAGGCAAAGGAGAATTCGACAGCAGAGTTCTCAAAGTCCACCTTTGACTGGCTTAACGCGCGGAGCCGGCAGTCCAGTCGAAAGTGAGGGCGGGCACGCCTGAGACCTCGACCCAAGCTCTGGCAACGTTGCGCGACCCAGCAAAGAGGCACAGGTAAACAGACTCAGAAGGGCGAATGGCGGATGGCATCCGGCGGTGGCCCGGCCACAGGAACTGGCACGCAGAGCAGGCCTCAAAGAACCGAGACAGGCTCGAGGAAGCAAGGGCCCGGCTCGAAACCCGAGGGGTGGACGCGCTGCAAGAAAAGTCTTCAGGTGAGTCCGCGGAGGGCTCTCGACGCGAACTTTGGATGGGCAGGGGCAGTCCACATCGGTTCCGAAAGCTGGCCAGGAGCTGAGGAAGCCCTTGCATCTGTTCAGGGAGCAAGCCAAGGTCAGAGAGGAAAAGGTCAAAGGGACGGAAGTCGCCGGAAGCGCCGGCGGTGAACCAGGCAGGCACGGGCACGCTAGGAGAGCGGGTCGGTGTCATCGTCGCTGGGGTTGTCCTCCGAGGCGACAAAGGAAAAGGAAGGATGCAAATTGAAGAAAATGTAGCCGGGAAGGGAGGCCTGCAAGCGCAAGTTAAGCGCGGCTGAGCTCGACCGGCCCTTCAACAAAGCACCTAACACCACCTGGGAATCAAGAAGGCCGACGGTTCTGGCACTTTCCCACGGTCCCGCTCCCAGCTTCTCCTCCACGAGGAGATAGCTCTCTGCTTCCTTCAGGTTTATGTGCAGCCCCACCTTCCTGCGAAAGGAGGCGAACAATTTGAAAGGGAGCGCGCGGGCCAGCAGGGTCCAAAGCGCGTGGGTGCGATAGGCTTCCCCCGGCAGCTCATCCTGAAAAGCATGGCCTCGCTAGGTCTAAGGAGTCGGTTCCAAAGACCCTTCACCAACTCACGGGCCCAGGCGGGACCCACCTGAGTGACCACGCCTGCCCCTCGGTCGTCGGACGCATCAGTGGCAGCGATAAGCCCGCAGGATTGGCCCCGCATGTCGCACACCAGAAAAGGAGCGATGACGCAAAGGGTGAAGAGTTCATTCCGCAGTTCCGGGGGGATGCGCACCACATCGGTCCGAGCGCGGTCCCGTTGCAGAAAGTAGACCCAGTTCAGGAGAGACAAGCACCGGCGTCGGTACGACAGCACCGAGACCCAGGAGCCCGCGAGCACTTCAAGGAGGCTGACGGTCAGCACAGGGAGCCGCAAGCAGGATATGGTGAGGCCGACCAGCGGGATCAGCCGCGTCCAGGCCGGACGCACAAAGCCACACAGACCATCAAAGTCAGAGCCCCAAAAGGTGGCGGCATGCTGCTTCAAGAAGGTCTTGCCCTTGTGCACCGGAAGAGGGGCAGCAGCATAGGCCTGGAAGGCTCTGTCCATCAGGGGCCCGGACCCGTGCTAAGCAAAGCCCGCTCCAGCACAATGAGGTCGTCGATGACGACACCCAAGCAAAGGTCGCCCCGGCTGGGCCTTCCCCGGAGGGAGAGCAGGCTCTCAAAGGGAGCAACGCGATGTGCCAGAAGGAGGCCGAGATGGCTGGCCTGGCCGAAGCTCACTGAGTTCAGGTCCCCCATAGCCATTGTGCAAAGGGGTGCGGAGACTTGCTTGCACCGAAAAAGCTCTGGCCGGAAACACTTCAAGGACTTGAGCTCGCGAGGGGCAAAGGTGCCCACGAAGCGGTAAAGCCGGGCCCTGCCTTCCGAAATTAAGAAATTGTGGTAAAAATCTTTCAAGTCGGTGCCCGAGGCCCAAAAGGCTTCACCATCCCGAAGTTCCAGGCCCGGCTGAAGTGGGCATCAGAGCAAGCCACCTGTTGTCACCGACCTGCACACTGTTGAATGGCCTGGCGTCGACTATGAGTTGGTCTCGCGAGGCGTCTTTCGGAACAGCGAACAGCCCACAACAGCCGTCCAGAGAGCGTTGTCTCGGATGCGTCAAGAAGGGCAAGGAGCTCGAGGCGGGCTTGCTTGTTTCGGGACCTAAACCTTACCCTAGGGGGGCGAAAGGGAGGTCGGCAAACCCTATGGCGGAGGCCTCCGGATCCACGTACAGTTGCCGGAGCTGGTCATCCAAGAAAGGGCACGGGTCGAGGCGGCTGGCTTCGATGTCTTTGGCAGGGGCCAGGCTCGGCAAGGCAACAGAAGGCTTGTCGGCGGCGGCTTGCAAAGCAGAAAGCTGCTCTTCTATCTTCTCGACCTTGCCGGCCGCCCTTCCCATGTCAGCCAGCGCCACCGGATGGTCCGTCCAGGAAGCCAGCCGTAGCGCAAGCCTCTCCCAACAACGGCCCATGCAAGCAGCTGAAGGCCCAGGGCCACGCAAAGCAAAAGGAGAGCAGGCAGCTCCACGCCCGACGCGGTTCAAAGGAAGTGCCAGGAGTCGGTCGAAAAGGCAGGCGGTCAGTCGAAGGGCACAGGGGTCACAGCCCGCAGTGGCTGCAGCAGTTGCCTCGCAGGCTAGCAAAGAAGAAGAAAAGAAAGCCTCGTCAACAAAGGAGGAGGCGGGGCTGCGGGAAGGGGCGCAAAAGGACAAAGTCCCGTGAGCCAGGAGCTCTGTCAAGGAATTCGCAAAAGAGCGTGCATTGAAAGAAGCGGCTGTCGTCTCAGGCAGGGGCATGGCTCGGCCCGGCGGCGGCAGCCACACGTGGTGCAAAAACGTCACTTTCCTTGGCCCCCGGAGGGGCCTGGCTTGTCGCCCGGAGGGGCGTTCGGATTCCGGCCTTTCCCGTCACGGCCTTTTCCCCGATTGCCTCCGTCTCCTTGGTCCTCGTCTCCACCGCCTCGGTTGCTGGGCTCAGCTCCACGGTTTTTCCCCAGCTTGCGTTTAAGCTCTCCGGTTCCTTGGCCCTGTGGAGGAGGAGATCCGACCACCGGCCGCTCAGCAAGCGAGTGTGGTAACTCTCGAGCGGGTCCATCAAGACTTTGCGGCCCTGGAACGACCCAAGGGGAGGCGGCGCCTCCAAAGTGATTTCTTGGGCATAGGCCCAGGACCCCGAATCGATGCAGGCTTGGTCCAAAGCAGCCAGCCCCAAACAGACTCTGGCACGAGCCTCCTCAACCCTCTCGTCCCGGAGGGCATCTAAGATGCCGGCTAGGCACCACATCATGCGAACTGTGGTCGGGTAGTTCTTGACACGGCTTCTGAACTCAACCCAGGCTCGAGCGGAACTCTGAGCAGCACTCAAGGAGCCGACGGCACGCCGGGAAAGAAGGTCCTCATCAAGCAGGCCCTCGATCTCCTGATGGATGAGCTCTGGCGATTTTGAAAGGCTCTCCCGCAAAAGCCTGTAGTCGGCGCCCTTCGAGCGAGAGCCGCTGGAAGACCCATAGCCCTCTGAAGAAGTGGCACCCTCGGCTAGGTCCAAGGCGGCTTCAAGGCTGGCGGCACGGTCGGCGGGCTTGCGCTTATCCTGAACGAGCTGCTTCATGAGCCCAGTCAGCACGACAACGGCCTGCTCTATCGGAGGGCCCGGCTGGGCATCCTCAAGAGGGCCTCCGCGAGAGTCCTGGCTGCCCCCAAAGTCAGAGCCGTCACCAAGCCCAGTTCCCAGCACAGGGTGGGCAGCGGCAGTCGGGAAATCACCGAGGGCAGAACGGCCTTTTTGCATGAGCTCGGAGTTCGGCCGGGGCAACACCTGAATCAAGAGCGGCACGGACGACTGCCGGATCGAGGCCCGGAACCTCCTTTGCACGGCCCGGACGGGCGTGCCGGGGATCGACCCGACACCGGCCTGGGGAGCCTGCTTCAGCTGCACGGCTTTTGCCTTGGGGTTCGCCTTAGCGCGGGCGCCTGCTGGAGCCTTTTCGGCCGGCTCCTTTGCAACAAGCTGCTGCACACTGGCACTGAGCTGCCCAAGCGTAGTTTCCAAAGCACGGAAGCGAGCCTCAAAGGGATCAGCTGCAGGCAAGGGAGCGGAGCTCAGGGCAGACTGGTAACCGAACTGATTCTCAGCAAGTTCAAGCAGGGCACCGGCGAAGGGCAAAGCCGGAGACTCGGCAGACCCAAACACAATGTCAGGGGCCTCAATTGTATCGAAAACAACCTGTTCGGCCAAAGAACTGGCAAGCATGCCGAACCAAACCTTGACTCGAGTGCCTTCCTCAGCCACGACAGAGCGGTCAAGGGAAGAGGCACAGGCGACCTCAACCAACACTGGCTTCGTGAAGGGCCCAACCGGGAGCTTTCTTTTGTTTGGCTTTTTGTCCCAAGCCAGGTGAGGAAAAATTGCCAGGACGCGGTCTTCAAACGGCGCCACAAGAATTGAAGAAATGGTGCGGCGGGTCGTGCCGTCTCCAACAGCAAGGACCCCCAGTTCATAGTCAAAATTGAGAGAAGACCTGGCCACGACGTAGTGAAGCTCACGGGGTCTCTCGGCATCTTCAGAGGACTCGCCCGGATCAGTCATGCCTCTCCGCTGGCGGCTCTAGCCCGGCAGCCTCCGCAACAACAGCGGCCTCCCACTGGGAGGGCAGCCCGACAAACACTGCGCGCTCCGACACGTAGCCGGCTGGTTTCACCAAGGCCTTTGCAGCACCAAAGGAGCGGAAGAGGAGCGGCGGGTTGTGGCTCGTCCCCTGGTGGTCCCGGGCAACCAGGTAGACACGGCTGGCAAGCGGATTTTCCTCGCGGCCGCTAGGACCCCGATGACCCCCGGCTAGAACCCGCCTAAACCAACCCCCGATGCGCACGGCAAGGGCCCGACGGTCGGCCTCAGAAAGCTGGCCCGGAGCAGTCGCGGAAAGTGCAGCAGCCAACTCGGTGGCTCGCTGGGGGCTGGAAGCAGGTGCTTGGGCAGGTGCCCGAGGAAGAGGAGCTGTAAGGGAACCCGAAGGAGGCCCAGGATCAGCACCCAAGAAGTCGCCCAAGGCGGAAGGCTGAGGGCCGAGGCGGCCTTCCACGAGCCGCTGCAAAGCACGAACTTCTCCAGAAAGTTGCCGCACCTCGGCAGTGAGGTCGGTTACCCTTGCAAGCAGTTGGTGCACAGCCAGGTGGAGGCTGCTCATACAATCAGAGAATCCGAAAGAGGGGGCCCGGCTGGGCACGCAGCAGCACGACCCTTTCCCGGACGGTTGCAGCCCACCACACCCGGAACAGGTAAAGGAGGTCGATGAGTGGGCCAAGGAGCAGGCCGATCAGAATTCCAAGGCACAGCGACCTGGGATCAATCTGACCCGGGAAGTCGAGCTCCGGGCAGACGATGGAAGGCAGAGAAGGGCTCTCGAAGGAGCCGGGAAGCAAATCCTCTGCCGCTCGGAGGAACAGAGAAACCAGGGAGCCGCCCAACAAACTCGCCTGAAACGGCCTAAGGGCCATCCACTTGCTCGACCCAAAAAGCTGACACAACTCTGCTCAGAAAGCATGTTAGTGACATATTCATATTAATATCAATCTGAATATTGTATTGGTGCTAATATTTTTGCCTCTTGCATGGCTGGATAACGAAGCAGGGCAATAGCTGTCTCACAAGTGAATTAATCCATGTTGGATGCTGGATGATTTATATTAGTTTTAATAATTCTGAACCGGCCTTGAGCTGCTCTCGGTCTAGCCTTCCAGTGCTCTCTGGATCAAATTTCCTTGCGTGTGAAACATGTCAAGACACAACCGCCAAACGTAACATGACAGCCTCCACAGTCGTCTTATGAACTGCACATTTGCATTGATCATTTCTGCATCAGCCCTTCCCCTCGGAGTCTCATCCATGAACCCATCCACTGTGATACTAGATACATGGTAAACCTTATCAATGCTGTAGAACTTAGAACAATGGCAGCGCGGACTCAACCCTGCCACAAGGTCATCAACTGCCCGCGGGTGCGGCGAGGCTCTTGAAGAGTATCACACCCATACTTTTTTCATTTGCAAACCTCGACCATCAGCACGCTTCGACACTGCAGTCGCACATGCAGCAGCCTGAGAGGACTACACATGCAGCAGCCTGAGAGTCTCACGAGGATTGGTAAATTCGCCAGCACGTCACTGCAGACATGAGATTGTCCCTGCCAATCTCAAGGCTTCTGGTATCCTCAGTGGAACGATTGGTCAAAAAAAGCACCGGAACGACATCACACGTGGAGTCTCCCTGAATGGGTTTGCAATAGTTGACGAGTGGCCGCTCTAGTCCTGCCTGGCTGCACCGACCCTTCACCTGCGTCTTGTAAGGGGCTGCTCCAAAGCAGTCTCAGTGTCGTCTCCTACGGTGAACCCGCCTGCCATCTTCATGACAAACGTCAGCTCCTCCTCCGTCGGCGGGTGGCCCTGCGTGTCAAAAAGAAAACGCCACAAAGACCTCCACTGAACAGTGCTACGGGCACGCAAGGCGGCACTGGGCCTTGTTGAGCTGCCGCAGAAGACTTTTCACTTCAGATCGGTCTAGGGAACCACTACCGTTGTCCTTGCGACAATCTCACAAATGCAGCTCAGCGTAACGGGAATGCAAGCCACGCTGTAAAGCCGAGGCACGTCCAGGCGCTCAAAGATTTCTCGCACGGTCTCGTTTCTCTGTTCTTGTGCTATGTTCTGCGCATCATCGCCTTAGAGACGCCAAAGCATGCCCTGTGCCGCTGCTGTGACTAACTAGAACAAAGCATGCTCTAGATCAAACTGAGTACACTGTACACCTTCTTTGAAGCAAGGGGCGCAGTTCAGCAACCTTTTGCGCGACGACTGCCGCAGACATGCAGTGGGCGTGGCATGAAGTTACCACATCATCATGCTTGAGCCAGAAGACCTCGTACTTCGAGTCTGGATCATCGGACAACGAATGTATGCTTGTCATTTCTCTTACGTAACTGCTTGCAATCATGGGCGTTCTCTTTTTCAGCACTAGGCTCACACTGGTTCAAGCAAGCTTGCTGGATTCTTTGTAGTACCTGGAAAGCCAGGCTCCAATCAACTTCCCGCAGCATGCACTTGCAGCATGAAATCACGAGCACGTACGAATGTACGACTGCTTCGACAAGGAGCATGATGTACTCAGGGTAGATCTGCGAGGTGTCGTACACAACGAACTCCCGCGTGTCAGTGCAGCCCAATATGGAATCCTGATGGCTTCGTGGGTCGGATATATGAGTAGCGCAACGAGGGACTTGTCAAATGAAGCAAGCGTCAACATTTGGATCATCAGCGAATCGATCAGCACTTCTATCCTGGCCCTTAGGCAGCATCTTTACACTGCCCAAGGTGACTCTGCATAGGAGCATGATCTTGCAGTCATCTTCCTCGGCTACAGTACCGCTGATGCGGGTACAGGCTGTTGGCTCCAAAACGTGCTGCCCGTGAACACGGACTACTTCCAAATCCAGTTCCTGCCAGCAAGGTCAAGTCAGAGGGTCCGTCCTGCCCTTAGCATACTGATTGCTCTTCTTGGCATCATCCGCGAAATAAATACCAGATCCGAAGCATCCACCGCTGCTGGGCAAGAAATTGCTTCGAGAAATCGCTTTAGCTGCTTCTTCCGAGGTGCCTTATAAGCAGAGAAAGATCCCACAACGAGGCGCCCGGAAGGCACGCCAAAAGGGGAAAACACTCAGGCTAAACCTTCTGGCAGTGGACCATGGAGCAACCAGACCTCGTTGACTTTGTGGTCCAAGGTGGTGTTGGCAGAGTATTGAATGCTTTCGGCGGTTTCCTGCCCAAGACACACAGGACAAGTAAAGAAGCACATGACATGCTATCATTGGACCGTCCAAAGCACATTGCAGCCACTGTTCCATGCATCCAAGCATCAGGTGAGACATGTGCGCAAGTGACAGACTTTTCTCGAAGCCTGTCACAGAGTCACCATAAGAATCGAACACAAGCGTCGAAGTCGAAGACCCCTGAATCTAGTGCAGGCATGAAGGCTGCGCTCGCTTGGCGGTGTACTTTTCCCACAAAAGAGCATCCTCAATTCGCTGGCACTGAACCACTTCCCATTCTGGGAGTCTGCGCCGAAGAATCTTCGTGCCCATCCTGGACACGTATGGATAACTGGATAACCCACAACATGCAATGCACAACACGCCACACGAAAGTCTTGCAACTAGCAGATCGAGCCGAAGCTTCTCTTTCACATAGGCTCCACCAATTTCTTCGTGAAAATTTTCTGGCCATGCTGATGCTGACTTCCAATACCAAGGTGGACAAACGGCTTCATTGGCACCTGTCACGATCAACAAACTTCGATGCATGATTCATGTTGCTCATTGTTGCTCGCTTCACGAGACAAGGGGCGGATGTCGCAATCAATGTCATGACCACAAATGTCGCGCTCCTTTTTGAGGTAGGCCTTAGTGTCAGCAGACGCATGGAAATACAAACACAAATCACAGGAGGATGTGATTGCTACAGCCAACCCTGCTGCTTTCATTTCTCGTGCGACTGCTGCTGCCATTGCTCGCACTACGACGACGACGCCGACGACAACTACTACTTACTACTACTACCTCGGCTAGATGTCTTCAAGTGTTCTTTAGTGTTCTCAAGTGATGTGGGTTCCGCCGGATGCTGTAGCGAATGTTCATACTTGCAAGCCGAGGCACACAACTTTTGCAGCACGTTGGAAACACCTCAGTCAATTGCATCCGAGCTCATGAATGCCAAAGCTCTAACAGTGAGACACCTCAAATCCCTCCTGTGGTGGGCCTAATTTGTTGCTTGCTCCTGCCCATTTCGTGTCCCGCCGGCAGGTCCTACGCCGGTGGGCTACGGAGAGTTGGCTCCACTACGGTCGTGGCCCATGCTGAAGCGATTGCTGCACACAGTGCGGGTGGTGCCTGTTGCGCGCGTCTTTTTTCTTGAGGTCGTGGACGTGCGCACAGTGCAAACACTCGGATGTATTGGACCCGCTACTCAATTTGAATTTGTTCTTATAACCTCACTTTCACTTTCCCGTTGGCTGGGACCTGAAGGGCTGCTTCTGTCATGTGCATGTGGATCATGTGGACATGCCTTTCATGATGCAGTTCGTGGTACAAACACATGGGTAATTGTCAAACTTCCGGCTTGTCCACGTGAGGTCTTTTCCAGCTCGCGCGCAATGCGCACTGCCGCTACGGCAGGTTGGTGGTGCTGCTGGTGGGTGGATGTTCTTGAGCTGCGCGCAGCAGCGCGCGCTCGCGTCCACGCTGCTAGGCGGCTTGGCGAGCGCCAGCACAGCCGGGTAGCGACGGGCAGCCGACACTGAGCGAAGTTGAAGAACTTGCCGAATACCTTCTTTGCTGTCGCTGCGCGCCCCGTACGCGATGTAAGTTGCAGTAGACTGGACTTTCTTTGGCGATCGGGAAAAATGAACGCCGTAGTTTTAGTATGCTTGCGTGAATGTTGTAAATGTATGTGGGTGGTTGTCAATATTATGGTCCCTTTTTGGGTCCGTATAATATAATCCTATTGCTTAGGGTGCCCGAAAAGGGACCTTATCCGCTCACAAGGGCGACACGAGCGTGACGTAGCAGCACAGCACCTCTCCGTGCCTGGTGGCGCCATAATGTGGGGGTCGGTTTAGGAATATAAGTCTAATTAATGCGTTTTCTGCGGGGCTAATTCCGAACCGGTAACAAAATTTGGGTGTTCTAATTGATGCGTTTTTTTTTGGCTGGTGGATTTTTTGGGTTGTGGCTGTGCTGTCTGCTGATGGTCAATCTTAAGGCAGCCACGACCTGAAGCCCCCACCCAAACCCTAAAACCCTGGCCTTGGAGCCCGAAAATCTTTTGCAGAATTGTTTCGCTTATTGGGGCGTCAGGAATGAAATCTGTACTACTACTGTACTACTATTCTACTATTGTACTGCTACTGTATGCCTTGCTTATTGGGGGGTCTGCTAGGGTGAACCGCCGAATTGGGAATTGGACCCTTGCTCGAAAAAGGCTTCTCCAGTACTAAAGCTTGTATAAAAAATTCAATTTTGGGTCGAATCTGGACTGACCCCCCTTTGGGAAGGGTTTAAGGTTTAGGGTTTGTTAAGGTTTAGGAGTTTAAGATTCGTTAGGGTTTAGGGTTTGTCAGGGTTTAGGGTTCAAGGTTTAACGGTTGCCAGGGTTTAAGGTTTAGGGTTTCAGGCGCTGGCTTTATGCTTTGCTTATTGGGGGAATGTGCTCACTGGCTTTATGCTTTGCTTATTGGTACTATTTCTGTACTGTTACTGTACTACTACTGTACTTCTGTACTACTGTACTACCGTTGTACTACTACTGTACTACTAGTGTACTACTGTACTCCTGTACTACTACTGTACTACTACTGTACTACTAGTGTACTACTGTACTTCTGTACTACGACTGTACTACTACTGTACTACTACTGTACTATTACGGTACTACTATTGTACAACTGTACTATTATTGTACTACTACTGTACTACTATTGTACTACCACTGTACTACTGTTGTATTGCATTGTACTACTGCACTATTATTGTACTACTACTGTACTACTACTGTACTACTCTTGTACTACGGTACTATTATCGTACTACTACTGTACTACTACTGTACTACTACTTACTGTACTACTATTGTGCTACTATTGTACTACTGTACTATTATTGTACTACTACTGTAGTACTATTGTACTACCACTGTACTACTGTTGTGATTACTATTGTACTACTGCACTATTATTGTACTATTACTCTACTACTACTGTATTATTTCTACTGTACTACTATTGTGCTACTGTACTATTATTGTACCGCACCAAGCTTCAGACGTGGTCGATTGGAGTGTGGGAGTGTTGGCTACGGAAGCAAAAGTTTGAATCTGATCCGCAATGAAACGCAATGGCTCAGCTATTTTTGCACTCTAGCTCAAGGGCCCTGTTGAGTCGTAATGGCGACGGCGAGTACGTTTACAACTATACAAAAACCGCCTGCCAAGATCAAGACATGACTGTAAGCACGCACTCAGGCTATACATGTAGAAAACAGGGTAAATCTCTCACCCGTCTTACTTACTGATGCGTGCTGGGCCCGGTCACTTTGTGACGTCGCTGAGCCTTCCAAATCAAAATCTGTACAATGCGCTTTCTACCAGATGCCATTTCCGGTAACTACTAGCTCACAATTCCTCGCATTCCGCTATACATCATGCAACGCTGCACTCACGACTGTAGCGCTTGGACTTCGCTCTTTGTCAGCTTTCGCGTTGGGTCCGAGAGCTGCACTGTGGCATCCGCCATGAGCTTGAAAAGCTGATGCGGTTTTAGCGACTTAGTCAGTGCGTCAGCGAGCTGTGTCGCTGTGTCGGTCCAGCGAAGTTTGTCGCCGCATGGCGCCAACACCTTCCAGGACTCGGCCTCCTCGATCCAAAGCTGTTGCCTCATCGCAGACAGTTCTATGGCGAGGCGTTTATCTGCCACCTTGTTCAGCTGCGCGCTGGTTAAGTGGTCTGTGAGGCTCCTGCAGTCTGAAACCCAGAGGTGCTTCATCCTCCTCTGTGTCTCTTCTAGCCAGCCCTTCAACGAGGGAAGCTGGCCACGGAGCTCGCAGAGTATGGCCCTCAGCCGGTCCCCACTTTCGACCGCAGTCTGCATGGCATATGTTTCTGCCGCCAGGGTGCTTCGGCACACCCGCTTGATCGTGGTAGACCCGAAGCTAAGGATGTGGGCTACGTGCTCGTTGTTGTCTGCCTCACTTTGCACTGTGATGTAGTGCAATCGGCCCTGTTGCGATCGGAATCCCTGTTCCTGGGCAAAGCTGGCATCGGAGAACGACACCACACAGATATCGTTCCAATCTAGCTCCCCCGCAGGGTAAAACAGAGACTTATCCTGATCGGCCTGAGCCAGCTCCACGACCCTGTTGGCCTCCTTCAAATCCGCGATTGTCGCTGAGGAGCATGCCCGCTGCAGGCAATTGACTTTGTAACACAAATCCGGCCTGGCGAACCGTGCAACCCAAGCCAACGACCCCACAACGCTCCTTAGGCTCGTCGTTTCGGCCTCACTCGCTCGGTCGGTCGCCTTGCGCCCTACTGGGATGCTGATCTTTCTCACTTGGCGGGTGTTGTCTTCCGCATCAATCCTGACACAGAAATCCTCGGCTTGCCTAAACCTCCTACCGCAGAACCGGAAATCCGTGTGCTCGATCTTCCCTACATCGAACTTGGAGAGGATCGACTGCATCGTGTCGTGTCCTTCCTGGGTCGCACACCACAGTAGATCATCGACGTGGGTAGCGAGGATTATCGCCGGCAGACCGTCCGACCCGACCAAATAGTACAACCCCGGCGCAATCTTGCTGACGGCTGACTGACAACCCTTCCGCCTTTGCCTCCGAACACAACCTGGTGTAAAATCCCCGACCTGCATCCATTGTCCCGTAAATCGGGAGTCTGCACAGGAGCATGGCATCCTCGGGCACACCGGGCAATCCTCCTGACGGTTGCCTCATCAAGAGAATCCTTTCCATCGGAGAAGCCTGGAAGTAGGCACTCGATATGTCACCGCAGTACAGCTTCAACCTTCTTAACGCTGCATAGCTAGCAATGAGACAATGAACTTCGGCATCAGCCGTCGGGGAATCGCAACGAAGCTCATCACGGCTCACCTTCTCCAGATGGCCGCATGCCACCAGCCTACTGCGATACTTCGGCTTGTAGCCTTCACCGCCCTTCATGAATTCGTTCTTGTCTACATCAATCCACTGGCTCGGAATCGGCTGATGTCCTTCGCTCAGCAGCTTCTGAAGCATCTCCCCTCGGATGGGAATCGCTGCATTGTAATGCTGATACTTGTTCCATTCCTCCTTTCGCGCCTGCTTGAGGCCTTCCTTGACTTGGTCATCGCACTTGCTGAAATTCAGCTTCCGCGGCTTCTTTCCCGCGCCTTCATCTCCCGGTCCGAAACGCTCTGCCACGAACGCTTGGAACTTTGGGTTTTCCTTCGGAATCTCAGGTAATGATGACAGATCCACCGGGCTGACGCTCCGGGTGCGGAACAAACTGAACCCTGTCCATGCTTGGTCGGTGACCTCGCTCGCCTCTGCAATTCTACCCCACTCATCATTCACCACATCATGCGTTCCGTCTTGAAAGAATCGATGTGTTTCCCTTGTGTAACCGATCCTACTGAGATCACCAAGGAAATTCTCAATTAGGCTCGTACATGTGTCGACGGGGCGTCACATGTATCCGGAAATGCATGTTCTGTCCAACCTTCCAGTGGTCCTTGCGCTCACACGCCTTCATCATGTCATCAGGCTGTACCTGCTGTTCCTCTGTTGTCTTCTCGACTTCAGGATCACCTTCTACCGCTACGTTCACGGCACAATCGGGCTCAGGATAGAACCCTAGATTCTGCATGAATGGTGTTGTTGATTCATCCAGAGTCGGAACTGTGAAGCACACAATCGCAAACCTTTCGCCCTTAGTTCCGAACACACCATGCTTGACTTTCCCATTGAAATGAATCAATCGCCCACGGGTTCTCGTTTTCACACCCTCAATGGATCCTTCTTCTGTGTGCCATGTTGATGCACGCGCTGTGTCCTCAGCGCTGTTGTGGATGGCATCCTTGTCTCTAATCCACAAAGCACCACCTGAGTAATTCCCGTCACAATACAAGTAATTCGATGTTCCCTGGGAATTCTGGTTGTCAGACTGAACAGCAGTCGGACTTTCGTTCCCGAAAAGGATTGTGACCGAATTCCACTTCTCTACCGCTGTTCCACTCTCTCGGCACCTAGCAAGCATGTAGCTGTTCAGGTACTTTGCCACGGAAGGGTACCTTGTTGTGGCATTGGTGACTCCGAATGAACCTCCATGACGGTAGGCTCCGAAACTCATGTGATCCGCTAGCCTCGGGTTTGGCCTGGCACGATCCGCCATTTTCTCAAGCTTCCACATGGCTTTCATGCTTCGGAGAAGTGCTCTACCTGAACTCGGCGTGAAATCGTTGTCCTTCAGTAGCTTGTCTGCTAGTGCCTCAACCATGAGCTGCATAGACTCTCGCTCTTCTCTCAACACGGCGTTCATTGCTTCCTCCGCCGGTTCTTCACATGCTAAGTCGCCCGTCTTACTTATTGGATCTTCTGCCATTTCACCATCGGGCGACGATTCATCACTGCTGCTGGATGACGAATCACTGCTGCTGCTTGATGTGATGTTCTTGTCATACTTTTCCTGCTTGCGCTTTATCCGTGCTTTCGGCTGCTTCTCACTCTCATCACTGACATCAATCTCATCATCTTCCCTCACTTCAACGCATCCCCTTCTGCCCTTGGGACCCTCAGTCAAAGACTCAGGCAGCACTGGAATCCCGTTCAACAGGCAGTGGGACAAGACTTCCTCTTCCCCGGCAGGCCGCAGTGCGTGGATTGAGCACAACACAGGAACCCCTGCATTCACTACCCACACTGCTTCCGCATTCTCTTGGCCTATCACTCTGGACACGCTGGACCACTTCGTGCCTCCCACCTGAGCGTCACGGCGGTAAACCACATAGTCTCCCGGCCGATACTCCTCCTTGAATGTGGAGGCATTCCTCGTCAGCGCCTTCTGTATTCTTCTAGAACAATCCAAGTGAATCATTGCCTTCTTCGCTGCAAGCCTAGCCTGCTGCCTCGCCTGGAAAGCCTCTGATCCATCATGCTTTGCTGACAATGCACCTAGGTCCGCCCATCCGGGGTCACTGGTGACAGATCCGGGGTCCAATGGATTACGTCCGAAAACCCACTGGGCAGGAGAAAACCCTGATGAATTCATCATCGTGTTCTTCACTCCAATGACTTCCTGAATCACTCCCCGAAGCGCTTGACTACCTTCAGTCACCACTTCATGGCACACACGTCTGATCACTGCCTTCGCGAGCCCTCCATGACGCTCTACCTTTCCTATCATCCACGGTGCTTCGGTTGCCGCGAACCGAACATCTACCCCCTTTTCCGAAAGAAACTTTACGAACTGTCCTCTGTTGTGGGTTCCCCGGTCTGCTGTCACGATCCGAGGCAATCCCGACCATGCAATCCACCGCTGGAATGCTTCAAGGCACATCTCTGAAGGTGGCGGTCCGTGATTCTCCGATGTCACAGGTCGCAAGAGCTCGAGTTGTTGGAATCCAGTTGCAATGTCTACCATGTTCAGGCACTGGTATCTCTGGCGTTTCGAATCCATGCATTCTAGCACGTCAACCCCAACAACTTCCCCGAACTGGTATGTCGAAGGCAAACCTACAGGATGTGGCCTAGCCTTCTGTCCCGTCTTCTCGCATGCATCGCACTTTGCCAATTTGGCTGCCTCTATGAACTCCTTAGCAGCACCTCCAGCCTTAAGGATAGCTACTAGCGTTCTAGGCGCGGGGTGGTTGAATTGTCGATGTAACCGGCGTATGGCCACTCTCACCTTCTGGGGCAGTCGACGCCACTCGGCTCTTCTTTGGGTTTCGTTCTTGGGAACACCAGGCAGTGGCAGGCTTTCAAGCCATTGGTTCTCTAGGATACCAACATCTCCTGCAGGCAAGCTCGGTTCGGGGTTGCCGCGATCATCGTCACCACGACTGGGTTCCATCACAGCATCTTCATCATCGGCGTCACCATCAGGATCTGCTACCATGAATGCTTCAGCCCTGTCGTCGAGATAGCACTCTTCCGCAAAAGCAATCATGTGATCTCGGAAAGATTCTGATGCCGTTTCCACAAATGCGTTGGGAGTAAAACCCTTACCTTCAAACCACGACTGAACTCTCGCTTGCAAGTCGCTGGCCTTCGGTCCAACGCATGCAATGCACGAATCTCCCGAAAGCTCAATGACTTCTGCTCCAATCGCGTCCGCTTCCAATCTTCCCAATGGCGCAATGACTCCAACCGTAATCCCCGAAGCGTCTGATTCACTGAACAAATCCCTGCACACATGTGGCTTAGGATTTACCACCTTGTAGATCACTATCCCGGGCCGATGCTCGGCCACCTCGTGGACCAGTCGGTTCCACTTGAGCTCCTTCGCTTGATGTTCTCCAACTGATGGGTGGCTGGCTGATTGGAGCTGCGTCGTGAATCCAGAGCGAAGTGATGCTTGGCTTAGCATTTGGGAAGATCGGGTGTTCGGGGTCACCGGGCGCGCTTTGGGACCCTTCTGCAATCACCTTGGCTGCAAACCGATCTGACTCCTTCACCAACTGAACCTGCTTCTCAAAGAAAGCTTGTTGCCCTCTACTCATCAACCCCGGGTGCTCAACCATGTATGCCCTCGGCCCGCGAGACTCTCGGGTGACACTGGAAGCCGGCACCGACAACTGCACCACAAGGTCTGCCTCCCGAGGAATCCTGGTAGAGCCAATCTCACCAGCACGAAAGTAGTGCCACTCCGACTCGCCGCGATAGCGGATGTACACATGCTCATTCCAATTATAATGCCTTGCATCCTTCAAGGTAAAGAGAGGGCACTCCGGAGCCTGGGTATCCAATAGCACGACCTTCATGTTCAGCTCAGAGTTCTGCGATGCCGGTCCCGGCCCGATCCATGTTATCGAATTGAAGCGTCGCACACTACGGCGTTCCGATTGAAGATTCAGGGCTGTCAATGGGGTAGCGATCTCTTCAAGCCACTCGTCTGTCACAGACCCAAAATAATTCACCCTATCACGCCAACTGGAATCGTCGCCTCTGCGATAAACCGGGAGCTGTCTCCATGCCTCCTCTGATCGGCCTCGTGCATCGGCGCTCCCTCTCGCATCGGAACTTGACCCACGACCACGTCCATCGGTGGCATCCCTCGACCCACGGCCACGTGCATCATGAGGGGATCGACTTCGTGATCTTCTGGGTGGCGTCTTTGGCTCTGGCACCCTCGAACGCGATCTGCTGTCACGCCTATACCTGCGCCGACCACGGCCATCATCCCTCGGATCATCGCGACCGCGTGCATTCATCTCGCTCCTAAGCCTCTCGACCTTCCGCGTCAAGCTCTGCACCTGATCTTCCAACCTGGCATTCGACGATGAAGATGCCTCTGCCTGTCTCCTCGATGGCGGTGGAGTTGGAGGATGGGGAACAGCTGAGCCAGACGGTCTCGCTGTGACACGGGCTGACGGAACAGCTTTCGGAGCAACAGCAGATGACTTCGCAATGGCAGGGACAGATGGGGCGATAGCCTTCGCAGCAAGAACACCAGGAACCTTCGCAGTAGGAACCGCATAATCATGAGGTACAGCCCTCGGCGGGGGAGTCGCAGGAGGTACAGCCCTCGGTGGCGGATTCGCCGGCTCTCTCGGCATGGCCTTCGTCTTCACCTTAGGTGGGGTCACAGGGGCCTTAGGGGTAGCCGAACCAGCAGTCACGTCGCCATGGATCCAAAACCACTCCGGAGCTTCGCCGGAAATGGAACTGATACGATCTGCTACGGAGCTGTAGATACCCTGAGCCTCCGCTCTGACCTCATCACCAATGTGGCGGCACATGTTACACCATCCACGGCAAGGTCCATTCATCGCAGACCACGAACCGTTGTACTGCCCGGTATGTGTCACGCTGCAATTCAGGTTATAACCGATGTGCTCTGCCACTGCGACGGACCTGTGACGACTCTGATTGCAAAGGGACAAGATAAAAACGCTTCGGCCAGGGCATTCACGAACGAAAGCAATGACATCACGCATAACACGCACAATGCGATCGTCGCTCACGCATCCATTGAGATTAGCCGCGTGAGAGCCCACATGCCAGCGCTGATCCTGCTTACCCTTACCACCCTTCTCAGGATTATAAATCTTCAGGGTGTCAATCACCACAACCAGAGCATCATCCTCGACAGGTCCATCAAAAACATCCCGCGCAATCGCCCTCGCCGCCTCATCAGAGGGGTCTCTCAAGTAAGATCGCGCAGCAACATTCCAATTGGCACCTACACTGGCCACCTCCACGTGGCCTCCGCTCCGTGCCATCATGGCTTCCGGCAAACAGTCCGGGGCAACCATACGATCCACAATGTGCGGCATCGTTTCCGAAATTCGGTACTGCCTTATCTTCTTGGGAAGACTGGGGTTCGTTCTCAACCCTTCACTCAGATTGATGACCATCAGGTTGCTGCCTTTGCACCTGAACAATGGCAGCCTCACAACCAGGCCTTCGCCTCAATCCATGGTCGCCTCAAACCGCTTCATGTCTTTGCTTATACCCAGCATCGACTGGGCGTACAGGGACATGAGGAGGGGAGCTGTTGATTCACCCCCGGGCATGTGGGCGTCCAGCAATCCCGAAACAAAGTGATCATCCCCATTGGGGTCCGCTGTCTTGATGCTGAACGGAAACCTCCGATCGCCTAAGGTCTTAGACGATCCCACCAATCCTCCGAAGCTCTTTCCCTCCGAAGTCTGCCACGGGCAGTCAAACCCGAACTCCCTTAACTTCTTAAGGGCATTATCCATCCACTTGGAGGAACAGACGCAACTGTTTGCCCCTTCATCCAATACTCTGAAAACATCGGGGTGTTCGTAGATGTCAATCTCGGGCAAAACCAAGGGAATGAACTCGGGTTCTTCACTCTTCATGGCTAGCATTGCGGTTGAGCTAGCCCCGTCCGATCTAGGTCTCGACCTCTTGTCCCATCGTCCTCCGCGCACCGACTCTGCTGCCATTGATGACTCCCCTGGCGCTGATCGACTTAGGGTCAAACCCTTCTCAACTATGGCTGCCTCGATTCGATCTTGCAGTATGGCATGCAAGTCTCGAGCACTTATCGCACCCTCTGAAATCATGTGGTCTTCAACATGTGTGCGAAACTCGTCGATCATGGGAACAACCTCTTCTGGGACAAGTAGAACGTCTTCATTCACAGATCGGTGAATCGATGACACAAGATCAAAGGAGATGGATGATGATGCTTCCACGCTCTTGGCAATCTCCTGTCGCTTCTTGGCCTCTTCTCTAGGCATCTCATCGATTACATGTCCGCAGTCCTTGCAGAAAACCTTTGACACGGCCTTGTTCGATCCTAACTTGCTCGTATTCCGATGCTTGCACTGCTCAATGTCCTTCACTTCTCTCTCAACATTCGTCTTTGTGACCTTACCGCAATCCCTGCACGTGAGCATGGTGTAGTACGCGTTCGTGCCCTGTCTAGAGAAGTCAGTGCACTGCTTACACGGCACAGGCAACGGCGGGTTCGAGGGTTTCTTCTTAGCACTGCTATGCGCGGATTGCGCCGGCACTGCAATCGATGACTGGGCCGGTGCAGGTGGTGGTGGCATTCGGTCGAGAGGGATCTCTCGCCTTTGCACTTCCATGGTTTCATGATCGATGATGTAGTAGTTCTGGCAATAGTCTAGAAACCGCGCAAGGTACAGCGATGGAGATCTCTGGGTTCGGCCCCAAGTCACATAACCCGGAAACCGATGCACAATCTCCTCGTAGCTAAGACCCTTATGTTGCCCACACTCAAAGATGGTGTCACCTCCTGGAGGGATCTGGCCTTTCTCTCTCTTCACTGGGCTTGTCTTCTGGGGACTTGCGTATCCCTTGCCACTCTTGACGGCCATGTAACCCATTCTCTCACAATCACCCGAGTGTCCAATCATGATGCACGGGCTATCATCCTCAGACGAATCAGACAAATCTGCTAGGAAGGCTTGGGGCTTGGATGCTGTCGGCGGTGGCTTGTTCTGACTAGCCTGTCCCGAATTTCGACCCTTGGGACACACCGGGTCTCCGGACCAATGCCCCTACCTGTTCGCACTTCAAACACTTTGACCTCGCTTTGATCTCCTGAAGTCGTTCCCTGCGATCCTCAACTGAAAGCTACGACTTAATTAACCACCGGGAACCTAGAGGGCTTCCCTTGGGGCTTACCCTTCATCTTGCCCTTACCGCTCGCCTTCCCAAGCGCTGCATATGCGGCACACTGCAGTTGCACGGCCTCGGCAAACGCCGCAAACGCGTCGGGACTTGTCGTTCCGTCCGGGTTGTAGATCTCGCACTCTTCCATGCAGTTCAATGCGATGGCTACTTCTTCGTCTGACACTTCTGGGTCTTCTTGCACTCCAATGTAGCCACTCGGGTCAGGCTGATGTTCATGCGATACATCGTGCTCTGCCCACGCTGTGTATCCCTCATAGGGACTCTCGCTCTCACCGTGTCCTGGGCTTGCATCGCTCCAAGACTGATCGTACTGCGGGCTGTGATCTCATAGTAGGCTTGGGGGCTCCCTTCATCGATGGCTTGGTATGCGGACTTACCTAAACCTTTGCTAAATCCCTTAGGGCCTTGACCTTTTGGGTTCTTGCCACCCTTTCCTGAATTCAGCATGCGGAACCCACGCAAATGAATCTTCCCATGATGTTCAACCATCACTCTTGCGTAATCCTCGAATCCATTTGCCTTCCCTGCACAAGCCTTGATCATCAACTGTTGGTCGAATGTCAACCCGCTCAACTCCAACAAAAGCTCTGCTCGAAGACTGTCTGACAGCTGAATCCGGGAATCAAGCTGAAGCATGAGAAGCCACCATCGGCGCCTTCGTCCGATGTAGGAGACAACACTTTCGTCGGGTTGTCGGGATAGGGGTCCGTTGACTGCTTGGCCACTACGGAAAAGGGCTTGGGCCTCTTGGGTACCTAGCGGGAACACCATCAGCTTGATCGCTTCCACAAGTCTCTGAAGACCTCCCTTAGCACCCAAATCCGTGACACCCAAATCCTTTGCCTTCTGAAAAGCGTCTCCCCTTAGACCCTCAAGAACCCGAAGTACAGTCTCCATGCGCTGCTCGGCTTCGGTCTCTTCGTCTTCGTCGTCGTCTTCCTGATCGTCGTCTCGTCTCAACTCTTCGTCGTCGTCGGGCTGCTCTGCACTGCTCACTGATCGCGGGCCTCGCTCCAGATCAGAATCAGGCGATCTACGCTTTGGGGATCTCTCCTTCTTTCCGGTCTCCGGCTTACTGGATGAAGTGAACGAGGTGTCGGCTTCTTCTCTCCTCTTTCTCTCTCGTTTCAACTTCGTGCACTTCTGTTCACACGCAGCGATCCTCAGCTCAGTGCGAAACTGCCACTCATGGAAATTAGCCGGGCTCCCGTCGTAGATGAAGACACCATTCTTGGTGACTATTGGCGCAGCCGAGTAAGTGCTGGCTTGACACTTCAACCCCGCGACCGACATGCCCGATCGCACACACTCACTCTCACTTCTCTGCAAACACACTGTCAATGCACTCTTCCGTCCTTCCTCCCACCTGACACACACTGATGCTTGGGGTTCAGCCTTGCGGTCCGACGAAAACACTCGCGGCCAAAGGTTCCACCGAAACTATAACCTCGCCTGAAAGGGAGGGGTTCAGCTCCGCTACCAGTTTGAATCTGATCCGCAATGAAACGCAATGGCTCAGCTATTTTTGCACTCTAGCTCAAGGGCGCTGTTGAGTCGTAATGGCGACGGCGAGTACGTTTACAACTATACAAAAACCGCCTGCCAAGATCAAGACATGACTGTAAGCACGCACTCAGGCTATACATGTAGAAAACAGGGTAAATCTCTCAAAAAGTGTGCAAAATGAAGGGTTTCCAGCATTTGGTGATCCCCAGACCCCCCCGACCGCGCATTCGCGCAGAACCGCAGACCCTGCACCCAAGCCAGCCCCCAAACCCCGGCACCTCCCAGTTCCCTGCCACTCAGACCCCTACCCCTGTCCGGGGTTACTGGTTACAAATTAAAGAGACCAAAACTTTTTGGTTGGGGGGGGAGGGGGGTGCCCGTCCATTAAACCGACCGCCACATTAATGCGCCATTTACAGGACGAAGTCGAGCAGGCGCCGATCGTCGAGTGGGATCATAAGCGGCGTGGGGTGCAACAGCTACTGCTGAGGCACCACGCGGCCTTGGGCGGCGCGAGCATGCTGCCGGCGTCAGGTGGGATGGCACGGAGCCATTCGCCAGTGTGGGCAATAACTGACTGTGCAGCAGCGCCCGGGCATCGGTGCGGAGGTCGGAGAGGAAGCGCTCCCGACAGGACGTGGTAAGTATGCAAGCTGCCGGTCTCTGCCAGCCACGAAGCCAAGCCCCAGTTTCTCCCGGTTCATCGGGTGCAGGCGCTGGGGCGGCGTGCCTTGCAGAAGGGTGGGCCAGTCGGGCGGCGCGGGCCCTGCTTTGGCATCCACACCGGTGCCCAACCCTCAATGACGGCGACGCTGCTGCTGAATTCGGCAGCCGCAAGCTCGCACGCACATCGTGTGGCAGCATGCGCCGCATCCCACCCCTCACTTTCGACGTCCGGATGAAAAACGAAAGGCTCATGGCATTGTCGTGCGGGGCCGCGCGCACGCCGGATTCGGACAGCGGTGCGTATTGCAAGCTGTGCCCAGGGCTCTCTCAGAACAGCAGCGGAAGCCACTCGCACTGCAGATCTGGCAGAAGCGGGAGTTCTTGCAGTAGGCTTTGCTCAGCCTGCAGCCGCTTCTCCAAGCAGCGACGACGGAAGTCGGTGCTGCTTATCGGGACGCCGAGTGCGACAAAGCCGCGGTCTGCCAAGTCCGCGTCGCCGCACCACGTGGCTGGCCCGAGCTCTGCAATGCTTGGCGGAATAAGGCCTCCGGCAGTGCGTGTTGCTGAAGTTGGCCGCTATCCGGGGCGCGCATCGACGATTTCGGTGACGTCGTCGAGGGCAGGTCGGTCGTGGTGCAACATAGAAGTCATCCAAAATAGCCGTTAAAAATTCGCCTGCATGAAGGCGACAATGCGCCTCGTGTAGTTAGCCATCGTGCTGTGCCAAAACGAACAATCCCGGAACCAGCGCATCGCCCTGCTCGCAGCCGTCTCTTTGTCGCACGTGGCATCGGAATCCAGCTCCGTCGCAAGCTCGCAAAAAGGCTGCGAAGCAATCTGTGCCGGCAAGAGCTTGCTTGCAACACGAACTGGTATGGGCGACTTGCCCGGTCAAACACATCCGCGAACTGCCGAGCACGCATTCGAAAGACAAAGCGACTAAGTGTGTCTCTCTAGCGATTTCGCACGC